TTAGACCACTGAGCCATCTCTCCAGCCCCTTCATTGATTTTTAACTCAATGACTTTTAGTGTTTATTGCTGGTTCTTGTCTATATAAATTCTGATAGCTGCAACACAACAGAGATTTTTAATAATATTTTTTTCATTTACAAATTAGCATTGTATTTTTTTTTTAAGACAAGGTCTTGCCATGTAGTCGAGGCTGGCCTCAAACTCATGTAGCTCATGCTGGCCAAACTTTTGGGGATCCGTCCATCTCAGTGTCCCAAGTGTTGGGTCTATAGGCATTCACCACCACAGTTGGCTGCATTCTCCTTTAAAGAGGAGCTTCTCCTTGTCCTACCTCATCTGTATTACTTTTTTACCTACCCATTTATTTACATTTCTTGGTTTCTGCATAAGTGTATGTATATTTTCCATTCAAAGCATTCTAGTACTTCCACCTAATTTAACTGAGCCAGTTCCATATCATGTTTCTATTCTGGTCCCTTTTGTGGCAGGAGATACTCTACAGGAAAAGTTTCTAAAGGCCCCACCTTGCCTCATAATAAAAACTTGATCCACTGAAAAGTTTTGGCATCTTCCTTCTCACCTGGAGTTTTTCCTGCATGGAAGGCTTGGGGGAAGCCCTGCTGGCCTTGGTCTCTGGCCTTGGACTAGTTATCACTTTCTGGTTCCTTCCCAAACTGGTTTATATCCTCCCTTAGGACACTTTCTTTATTCCTTAGTGTTTACTTGCTGCTATCTCTTCTGTTGTTTTCTTCCCAGAATTTTGCAGATTAACTAAGGCACAGTACACAGTAGATATTTGTTTAATTAATGGGCAAATTAGTATTATAAATCATTAAGAACAGATTTTTGGGTATTGTAGTTGAATCACAAATAAGCTTGCTAAAATACAGATCAGGTAATTTTTGAATGATAATATATACGATGTAGAAAAAAGTTTACTTTTCACAGAAAATGCTAGGATAATAAAAGAATGCTTTTAGATATGGCTTAAACTCAGGCCTTTAACAAGGATATCGTTTCATACTTTACTCCATGATTCATTCAACAGATGTTCATTGATTAAGTATAATGTGCCAACCATGTCACATTGTCTAAATTCCTTTACTTTTATTTTCTTCCACCTCAGAAACCACTGAGCTGTTTCTGCCTCCAGGGAACTGACCATTTGGCAGTGAAAATGATGTTAGTTGCCGTCAAATAGCTCAGCGGATTAAACCAAAAGGGTTGGGGGGTTCTGATCCCTTGGCCCCGTGTGGTGGCGCACCTATAATCCCAGCTCTTGGGAGGCTGTAAACAGGAGGATCACTATGAGTCTGATCTAGTAGTGAGATCCTGAACACCCTGTAGGCCCTTCCTTAAAACACACACACACACACACACACACACACACACACAAGTCAGTTGAAAATTATACAGTATGAGAGGCCGGGCAGATGGCTCAGTAGAATAAGTACTTGCCAGGCAAGGGGAAGCATCTGAGTTCAATCTCCAGTTCCAAAAAAAAAGAGGAAAAGAAAAAGAAAATTATACAATATGATAAAGATTTAATAGAACTATGGACAAAGTGCAGAGAAAACCCAGGAAGGAAATCAACAACTTAAAAAGATTTAAATGGTTGATATTTGAGATGTATCTTGAAAAAATAAGCAAAGAATGACCAGAGTAGGGTAAGAACATTTGAGGAAAGTCACACCCTAAGGTGCTCAGGAACTTCAAATTTCTTTTTTTTTTTTCCTGGTCCATGATGGGGATCAAACCTGAGTTATCATGACCACCGAGCCCTATGAGTTATTTTGACGACTTATCATACACTATCAACTGCTAATCTACCTTTCATTAAACACTACAGTACAGAATTTGGAGCCTATAGACCAAACAACTCAATGTCTTGTGTGTGTGTGTGTGTGTGTGTGTGTGCGCGTGTGTGTGTGTGTGTGTGCGCAGGACCTCACTACTCAGCTTGGACTGGCAGTAATCCTCCTGATTTATGCTTTCCTAGTGCTGGGATTATAGGCATGTGCCACTGCGCCTGGACTCCATCCCCGGCTCAGGGTGCCCCGGAAGTGGGGGTGGGGAGGGGCGTGGCATGCGGTGCCAGGGATAGAACCCTGGTCCCTGAGTTTACCTGTGCAAGTGCTTAGTCTGCTGAGCTATATCGCTGGCCCTCCCAATGTCTTAAAAAATGCTCAGTATACAAAAATGAATTCAAAGGTAGGGTGTTTTAACCCCTCAGTGTAAGAAAGGTACAAGATTGGGCTAAAGACAGATAATTAGGTTGTGAATGGCTTTCTTTCTCTGAAGTGGAACTTGGACTTTATTCTGTAGTGAAGACAGTAGAGAAGGTCTCTAATGAAAAGATGTTGAGGTTTTTAAAAGAAATGCTTCTTAGCGTTATGAATGCTGGACATAGCCTAGCCATGCTATTAAATCTGGGGATAAACAAGGCAGGCGAAACTAGCAAGGACGAGCATAAGAGTGTTAATGTTATCTTTTTCCTGAAGTTTTTTACAGGCTTGAAATCGCAATCAGATGATTATAAACATGGATATGAATATAATTACTGTACTTGACTTGCAAATTGTCTCAAAGCTAGGACGAAACAAGGTATCACAACAGAGAATGCACAAATACTCTCAATATAGTCCTAACTACCCAATGTATGCGATTGTGTAAGGGTTTCCCCTAAATGTAAAATTATGGCAATTTGAATATCACAAATAGGAACAAGGAAGCAGCACAAGTACAGGATAATCGTGGATACTGAGATGATCAGACCAGTACTACAGGACACTAGGCAGCAAGCTTTAAAAACAGTCCAAATTCCTTTACTTTTATTTTTTTTCCATCAAATTTATCAGAGATGGGATTGGTAAAGTGTTGCAAAGTAATTTACTACTCCTGCATCTTCACCATCCACACTTAAAACAAAATTTAATCTTTCTCGCTGAGGAGCAGCTGAGAACACCTCCAATTGCTCCAACGCGAATCCCCAAATCCCAGTGTGACCCCACCTGGATCTACAGTCCCGACTCAAGGCCTGGGGGAGGGGTAAAGGCAGAAGGCACCCGAGGGCGAGGTGGAGGAAAAGCTCAGGGGTCTGAGGCCGGGGCTTGGGCTATCCTCCAGGAGGCGCCGGTTCAGGGTACGCAGGCAGGCAGGGCTGGAGCCCAAGTGGAGAAAGCAGATCGGGGGAAAGGGTCAAAATCCGAAGAAGCTCGGGCGCGGCGCGGGTAGGGAAGGGTCGGCCTCTCGGGACTGGAATCGAGCAAGGGCAGGGTGGGAAGTCCCAGGGCAGCCGGGCAGGGGCAAAGGTTGCCACTAGAAGGATACCTCCGGTCGGTGCAGACCCAGCTATCTGAGACTGCAGCAGGTGGCCGGACGCCCAGCCCATCAAGTCCGTTACAGGACCAGATCCAGAAGTACCTTACCGCGCCCAGCCCGTTAGCTGCGATGGAGCGGTGAGGAGGGGCTATGGCGAGGGCGGGGCACATGGCGGCGTGAGGCACGCCGGACGCAGTGCGAGATCGCTGGGCGCGGCGTTCGCGGTGCCGGGTGGGGAAAGGAGGTGTGCGCGAAGCGGGGCGGGGCGTACGGCGTGCGCGCTCGCGCTCGCGCCAATCACAGAGCCCGCGAGGGGGTGCGCTCGCAGAGGCCCGAGGGGAAGGGGCGGTCCAGATGCCGTACGCACCCAGTCCCCGCGCCGCACTTCCTGACGTGAGGCTCTCCCGGGCTCCGAGCGCCAGTCGGCTGGCCCAGCGGGTAGGTGCGCCGGGTTAAGGCGCGGGGGCGCGCGGGGACGCGCGGGGGCGGGACTTCCGCTGGGCCCCGGAAGTGGAGCTGTGTGTTCTCATGCGAACGGGAAGGAGCGTTGGGGAACCAGGGTCTCGAGATTGAGACATTTTCGGCCCGAAAGGGGAAGAATCCACCGCCGCCGCCACCAGTCCCCCTCCGCCCTTCCTACCTGCCTCCGGCCCGGCCCGGCCGCGCCGCCTCTTCCTGCCGTCTCCCTCCTCGGCCGTCCCCGCGTGTTGCGCGGTCGCCGGGCACCGGGGCTGCGGCGAGGAGCCCGCGGGCGGCCGGTCGGGCGGGGCGGGCGGTGCTGACAGGTGAGCGGGTCTTCTTTGGCCCCTGGTAGACCAGTTTTCTTCCTGGCCGGTGCTCGGACCCGCGCCCGTTCCCGCCTGTCACCGAGCCGCCATCTTCCTGGAGGGACACGGCCCGCGGCTGGCAGGGCTGGGCCAGGCCAGGCCAGCGAGGACCGAGGCCGGGCTAGCACCGCGCGCGGGTTGGGGCAGGTTACGGCCGGGGCTGGAGTCGGGGAGGGCCGAGCAGCACCGCGATCGGAAGGACCAGCGGGCCTTGGGCTGGGGTCAGGCAGGGCCTGGGCAGACCGAGCAAGGCCGGGCTGGGCGGAAAGGACCCGCGGGCCGCAGTTGGACTGGAGCGGCGCGGCAGGGGTTGGTAGGGTTGTGCGAAGTCCGGCGGGCCCAGGGTCGCCCCTGAGGTCTGGTCCCCTCTAATTGGAGGGTGTAACCCGAAGAGGATGCGCTGGGGTCGCGGGCTGCCAGCGCCCCAGGCCGGACCAGCGTCGGGACCCGCAGTGCGGCTCCGAGCCTCGCCCCCTTGGTCCCTCGGTCCCTCGGTCCCTCGGGCGCGGGGACGCGCGGCTGATCGGGGAGGGATGGGTCAGTGGGGAATCGCATTCCTTTAGAACCAGGAAGTTGGGATCCTGTTGCTCAAGTGTGTTTGGAATGCCACCTTTTTCCACTTGATAAACTTGAGCTGGGCCAGATTCTCAAGGAGTTAAAAACAGAAGTTAAACGTGATAATGATGATTGTTTGCCCTGGGACTGTAGGAACCTTTAAACTATTTGCTTCACAGTGGCGTACAGCCTAAACTTTAAGCGTTATTCAGACTTCACTTTTACTCAGTATACTCTTCCTTCTTTTCCTTGTATTTGTTGAATTTTGGCTGAGATAGAAGTTGAGACAGTTATTTGTAGAAAATTATCTCTTATTTGATTGTCATTTAAGGCCTTGTTGCCTGCAAAATAACCTTAATCATAAATTGGAAGTTTGAAGTTTTTGGTAACAGAGTAAACGATTCTGCAGTGGAGTTTGTAAGTATATACATTAGGCGTGAGGATTTTTTTTTTTTTTTTTTAAACAGAGGCAACACCAACTTGAAGGTAAATCTTGTAAGTAAATGTGAAAATAATTTTCATTTTTTTCTTTTGGGATGTTTAGCTGTTCTCTTATTTTCAGCTGTGTCAGTGTTCAAAATACGCTTGAAATTTGTGCCCAGTTGTAGTTTAGGAAGACCACAAGGGAAGAAAAGAACGCTGTTCACTCTTTTGGTGGTCAGATAGTATATATGATATGCAATTTCCATACTTCCCTAACCTGCGTGTCTCCCTTAATTTATAGTAAGGGCAATTTACAGAAGTTGAAATGGTTGTGGCTTTTTTCTCTGTTTAATATACCGAAAGGCAATTTTGTAATCAAGCTGTACAAGAAATAGTTTACAAAGTTACAAGAAGTAACTATGGAGGCTTTCTAGAGTTGCTAAAATAGATACTTTCTGAAAGACATAAAATTAACCAGTTTATTCGACCATAAATTTACTTTGTATACTTTGAAACTTGTTGGCTTAAAAGTAAGTTTTATCCTATATTTTGGAGTATTAATATGATTTGAGTTGACATTTACACGAATGAAAACTCATTGAACATTGTTTTCTTGGTGCTTAAGTTTCTCATCTGTAAAGGAGCGCTTATAATAATAGTCTTATGGGACTGTTGTAATACAAATGTAGATATTGGCTTTTTTTCTTTCGATTATTTTTATTAAATTCTTATTTTAAAAAAAAATCCTATTTTTAATACACAGTTTTGAAGCTGTCCACTTTTTAAGTACTATGAGGGGTTCCCTCCCCTCCCCACCATCGCATCTGTCTGGGCAGAGAAGAAAGGTTCTGAGGAAAAATAAATTTGAAGAAAAGTTACAGTATTCTACATTTAGTAGAAGCCAAAGAGAAAATAGATGACAAGTATAGACGTTTCCTTGCATTGCTTTTACTGTGTCTCTAGAAAAGTAGATGAAATTAAGCATTAGGAAATTCAGGAAGAAATTTTAATGTTTTTGAGGCATTGCCCTTTTTAAAAAATGAGACTTAGCAAATTTATTGAATTTTGTATGATTTCCATAAATATGTGCAAAATTTGACAAATATATTAAGTCAGTGGAGACAAATTTTACTTATTCAATTGTTTTCTCTCTGCCTTTTTCTTTGTTTGATACTGGAAATTGAACCCTGAGCATTTGCACTGAGCTGCATCCCCAGTCTCCTACTTCTTTTTATTTTGAGATGGGTCTTCCTAAATCCTGAAATTTGTCTGGGCTGGGCTCATAATCATCTTGGCTCTGTCTCCGAGAGTGGTGGGGTTACTCGCCTAAGTTGTCATGATTGGCTACTCACATTTTTTCCTTAAAGCAGTCCTCATATATCCTAAAACATTTCTAAAATACAGTACTAAATACAAGTGGAAGCATCAAATTGTTAATGGTAATTACAATAAATGGTACTTTGAAGAAAGTGCAACTACTTGGACATAGAATTGCAACAGTATTTACACAGTTTTGTATTAATAGATTTCTAGTCAGTTCTGTTTACCAATTTAGAAATGGCTGAAAAACTTTGACTGCTAAAGTCATGTTGGCATTCATACTTTCCATCAAATTAGAAACTATGATTATAATCTGGGCCTTCCAGTTTTAGTAAGGTGTTAGCTTTGTGATATTCTATTGAGGTTGGAAAAATGCCATGCAGGTACATGCTGTGTAGGTATATTTGTACTTTAAGTTGCTTTTTTTCTTATCTTAGAGTTAAAAGCACATTTTTAAATTAGTCTTTTATAACATGCTACACCCTTATGTTTGCTCAGATTTAAGGATATTTTCAGATTGTTAATATGTGTATTTTTGTAATTTATTTTATGTATTTTTGTAATTTATTTTATAAAGTCATCAAACCATTTTCTGATGAATAGAAGGAAACATGAATGGTGAAATTTTACTGAAAAAATACAGTGTTAGAAATGGAAACCACAGCAGGGGTTTGTTTATACCTTTTTAGGGGTTGTACTTCATATGAAGAATTCTTTTTCTGTGAGTTAATTGTAAAGAACATATTAAATGAGATATTATGTCTGAGAGGTTAAACTCACCAGACCTGAGTTTGGTTAAGTTTCTAAAAGCCACCTCCCCCCAGTTCTCATGATGAACTGAGCTATATCCCCAGCCATTGTTTTTGTGGGTTTTTTTTTTTTTTTTTTTTGTATTTTAAGGAAAGGTCTGCAGAGTGTTCAGGGTCTCACTACAAGGTCAGACTCAGTGATCTGCCTGTTTACAGCCTCCCACGGGCTGGGATTACAGGCCCACCACCATGCCCAGTATGAATTGCCATCTCAGCGTTCCCTGAGGGTGGAGTCTGCACTGCAGGCCCAGGGATTGAATCCCTGGCCCCTTCCTACACCTGCTTGCAGGCATTTTAATCTGCTGAGCTATTTGGCTGGCCCCAAAAGTTATATTTTAAATCTTGATTAGAAAATGAATTTTCAAACAAAAGAAAGAAAAGAAAAAGAAAATGAATTTTCTTACTAGGACATAGAATTGAAAAGATGGGAAGCCATTAGTTTCTCTTAGGAAGACAGGGCCCCTCCTCCAGTAGTCGAATGCTTTATTTTTCCTGCATACAAATATCTTTAGTAGGAATAAGGAAAATTATTAGCTCAGCTGTCTGTGTTTGCTTCTGTTCCCTTTCTCACCTCACTTACACCTTTTGTCCTTCTGCCTTTATATATTGTCTTTTCACCATTTTTCTGTTGAAGCTGTCATGACTCGTATTTTAATCACAAGGGATTTGCAATTGAACATTGCTGATTTTACATCTTCTCTCGTAGTCTTGTTCTTTATTTCCCGCTGGCTTGTGAGATTTGGGCCATAGATTATATTGTAATCTTCAAAATATTTCATAGTTAACATGAATTTGAAAGCATGTAGTGAGTCTTTAATTTTAGGGAGAGTTTAATACTCATTAATAGGAGACTTAGTCTTCAGTAAAAATGTTCCTTTGAAGTCAGTGAGCTCAAGTTTAGGCTAAAAACTGATCCGTTAGGGTGGTAATTTTTACCAGTCAAAATAAAATACTCTTATTAGCATTTAAGTCATATAACTAGAGATTGTAGTAAAAGCATATCCTTCTTACTTGGTTCTTTTTAGAAAATCATCAGAACTGTCCCAGGTTCATAAGCATAGCATAGCTCTTCTTGTTTGACCATGCCAGATCTGCGTCTTCCTTCATTTCCCTGTCTCACCTTTCAGGTTGGACCGTTGCCTCCCTGTCCTCTGAATTACTACCCCACCCCAACCCCAACATAGTATTGCAAATACTATTTACTGCCTTTGTTTTTGGTTTCTTTGCCTGAAGTTGTATATTCCCCAGGTCTTAAACTTTTAAAAATTTTTATTTAGTTATTTAACCTACCCTTTAATGTATTTCAGGAGTTTTTCAGGAACCATTCCTTTAATTTCTTAAGTGAACTTGAGTGTTTTTTTAAAAATTGATTAATTAATTTAATTGATACAGGGTCTCGCTAAGTAAGTAGTTCAGACTCACAGTGATCATCCTGTCTCAGCCTCCGCAGCTCTGGGATTATAGGCATGTGCCATATATACCCTTGTCTTACTTACCACATACTATAATTATTCTTGGGGACAAGATCTTTTTGTGCATATAATCTATTTGATGAATTTAGTGCTTGGTATAGTATACTTTATTTTATTATTATTTTTTAATGTATTTGGTTGTTGCAGGGTCTCACTACGCAGCTTGGACTCGTGGTGATCCTCCTGCTTTCAAAGTCCCCAGCACTGGAATTACAGGTGTATGCCACTACACTCCATACTCTGTGGCTGACCCAGTCTGCCCTGGGGGTGGGGTTTGGGATTGAACTGTGGTCCCTGTGCTTGCCTAAGCTTTCCTAAGCAGGTGCTTTAATCCACTGCGCTATCTTGCCAGCCTCTGGTATACTTTAGGTGTGGATAT